TTTTAATCTAATTAAAATTAGTATCGATCATATCGTCGTCACATGAGATACACAGAAGTGGAAAAATAAAATTTTCACACACGACGTGTAGTGTTAGAAAGAAAAAGAAATGATAACGAAGAAATAATACAAACTGCGTGTCTCGATTATAAGCTGATTGTACAGTTAAAGACTATACCGCAGATGTACTGCGAACTTTATTATTATTATATTTTATAATGGAGCCTTTAGTAACTATACAGTTATTGTTCGAAGCGTTTGATTCATTATAGTATAGCCAGGAAAAGAACGGAGAATACATTGCCTTTAATTCCTATGTAGCGTAGCGAAATATCGTCCTCTATCTCTCTTTTCATCCTCCTCCCCTTGTCCCGCGTCATACTTATCGTCGTTGTCGTCGTCATCGTCATTATGCATAGCCGCGAAGCCATTCCAACACACCGTGTCATCTCACGTACATACGTTCAGTGCCTCCTCTTTGGTTGCGCCCTGAAGCGTTTTCGCTGTAAATACACTTCGCGAAGACCTCGCTGTTATCCGAGGGGCCCTTTATCTCCAACGGTCCCCCCGATTCTGGCCTCCGCCGACCGTAACGAAAGCTCCGAGCTCTCTTTCTCCATTTTCTCGCGACGCACGACTACACAACGCGTAAACTACGTGCAAAATCATGTATGCATGTGTGCACCCGGTGATGTAAACATGAATTTACGCTGGAAATTGAACGTTTCAGAAACGTTTGGACGATTTCAGAATGTTTCGCGGGCGGTTATTTAGAAACGAAAGAAACGAACGATCCGGTAGATTCGACGGACTTGTTTAGAAAGCACGTGACTTCGTCCATTTCCAATTTTCTCAAGTTTAAAGTTTCGGGACTTGTAGAAGCTTTCAATTTCTCGATTCGTGTTTGTTTCACGAAGTTGGAAAGCGCCGCTTTGGCTATCTTCGACATGGAGATTAAGGGGACGACAATTGTAAATTAGATTTCGAAGTGAATGATCGTTCAAAGTTACTATCGTGCGAAGGAAGGAAATCTTCTCATCGTGGAGAGAATCGTTCGATTTTGCCGTGCATTCTTCAGTTTTGAAAATTGTCGCGTACATGATCGTAGATGAACGTCATGAACGTGACGATCAATGTGATGACCGTGTTCAGCGTTCTTTCTTTCAGTATTTTATTCATTCACATTTATGAAAGTTTTATCGACTAAACTATTAAACCATTAAAGATATGAAATGATGTCTGAACGTGAAACTGAACAGAACAAAAAGCTAGTGAACTTTATTCTATTATTTAAAACGAATTTAACTTTTTAATTGTAACTAGTATATGTAAAATCAAAGAACTCCAATTGTACGAACCTCCCCCCTCCCCTTCAATAGGTTTGTATATTTGGACTTCTGATTAATTAATTGTAATATTATTATGTTATATATGGTATTATATAATATTGTATATGATATTATATAATTTTATATATACTATTATATTGTATTATATGGTATTATATTATATACTATAATATTCATATTACAATATAATGTTGTATGATGTAATAATATTGTTATATTAATTAACAAAATTCACGTCTTTGTTTTTATATTCTTTCGTATCATCCAACACGCGCAACGTAGGACCATTCTTCTCAATCATTTTGTACATACGTCCACACGCACATGTCGATCAGTCGGATACTGTTTCTTCGTTACGACGCCGCGTAATTTCATCCTTAATTCTTTCCTTCCTTCGCAGCGACGCGAAACAATCCTATTTTGCCATTTTTACGACATTGACTTTAATCAGGGCTACTACTAATTATTACTATTGTCATAATTATTATTATAATTATCATTATCATTATTATTACTATCACCATTATTATTATTATTATTATTATTATTGTTTCATGCGTTAGTTATTTATGAAACAACTCTACGAAACTATCTCTCTAACTTTATTTGTATTTTTTTTGTGATAGTCTCACTCTCGTCTGCCCACGTGAACGAATCCTTTTCAGTTACGCGTTTTGACTTTGAACAGCCTGAACACCCAACGTACATATTCCATTCTTTTCCATTGCTTTCCCTATTATATATTTCTCCTTCCTGTTCAGATAGACAATGGTTTTGGAGACAAAACTCGAAGGAAAAAAATTTTGTCCTTCGCATTTCTCAATTCCATATATTTCCTTCTTCGTAGAATTCTCGGGCCATTTTTTGATTTGATGTAACTGAGGAACGTGAAATTTTCAGATCTTTTTCTTGGTAGTTCTAGTTCGGTTTATTTTAGCATTTTTGTTTCGTTCGTATTCATTACCATCAATTGTGTTTATTTCCATTCTATATTTAATTTTAAAGTGTCTGTATTTAATTTTAGAGTGTCTCATTTTAGTTTATATTGTTAGTTTTTTCTTTTTTTTTTTTTTTTTGAAAACATGAGCCTTTTTTGAAGCTTAATATTTTCTTATATTACGTTTTAATTCTTTTTACGATAAAATTTTAATTCATACAGTAGCTTCTCTCATATTGTAGACGTTTAAACAATCAATAAAAATAATCTTAAAATATTTCTGTTGCGTCATTGAAAGAAATGAAATCAATAAACAAAAAATAAAAGTTCCTCACGAACAAATTTAAAAATAAAATTCCGTTCGATTCATCGACACATCGATTTCTCTATAAAGAGCTGCAATTAGATATTCAAAAATTAATTGACTTGATGACCTCTGACCGTAATAGTGTCAACGAAGAGTTAAATTACGTTTAATGTGTTAAATTACATTTACGTTAAGATGCCTCTCGAACAAATTTAAAAATAAAATTTCATTCGATTCATCAACAGATCGATTTCTCTGTAAGGAGCTGCAATTGGATATTCAAAAATTAATTGACTTGATGACCTAATGGTATTAACGAAAAGTTAAATTACATTTAATGTAGACACACGTGAAAAATTAGATCTATCACAATTGGACTGTTGCTAAACGGAGAGTTCTACTGAATATCATATTAGTTTTATCATATTATGACGTAAATAATCATATTATGACGTAATTATACGTATCAATTAATGAAAATTGATATGTGCATTTTGAGATATCGTACTCGTAGCCGATGAGGGTGTGACTCAATTTATCGCTTTTCTTTTTGTCGATAGACACACACACACACACACAGACTCGCGCACATATAAATAAAACACAGTGAAATACATTGAAATACAGTGAAATACATTGAACACTTGTGCATACGCAGAAATCTATACGTAGAAACACAAACGAATACAACTACACGTATAAAACAGTAATGTTGTGTACGTCGGTCCCTACAATCTTGTATATATAGTTTATTATTATTATTATTATTATTATTATTATTATTATTATTAATTATTATTATTAATTATTATTATTTTATATTATTAATATTATATTATTTTTCCGTTCTAGTCTTAAATAAAGCTATACTATTATAAGATTAATCTTTGGTTTATTTATTATTTGATTATTTTACCCTGTCCTCTTCACTCGATACCCTGCCAAATCATCCCCCCCCCCTTGCGTTCGTTTTCTTTGTTTTTTTTTTTCTTTCTTTGGTGGGGTAAGTCGTCTCGATTTAAACAACGATATTATTTGATCCAGAAGTCATCGAACGCTTTCCTTCGTTCCGTAGTTATTGTGTAGAATTTGTTTAGAACGCTGCTAGAAATAAGCCGAAAAAAGCCACCAACGAAATGAGTCAAACAGCTAGCCTATTTTCAAATGTAATCCATTAAATAATTAGCTTCTCAAATATGAGAAAATCGCCTACCAATATGGAAGATTCACGAAACAGAGTTTGATTTGTCAAACATGTATACGAAGATCGCAAGAGGAAGAACACGATAAATATTATTCATTTCGCGTGATTCATTTTATCGAACGACGAGTCCGAAAGATACACCTGATGAAATTTCGCGAGACAAGATATCATCGTTAAGACAAACGATACTATGAGTCTG